TGGACCTGGGGCCTGAGGCCTGGAGCTGGGGTTTTGGCTCTGGCCTTCTTGATGAAAGGTCATTTTTGTTAAGAAATCATTTTGGCATCACGAGCTTCTAGCACTTTCCCTGGTATACTGCAGGTACTTGATAACATTAAGGAAGGAGTCAGGAGCCCTGTCCCTTAACTTCTTTGAGACTGAGTATCCCGTGCCTGCCAAGTGAAAACATACCATTCAGGGCTCTTTATACAGTGCCCAGTGCCTGCAGATAGTAGGTCTGATTATCACTGGGCCAAATTAAGATTCACAGTATAATCAAGAGCCCTGAGACACATATCTAAAGGCAGTCACGTGATCCTTCAGGATTTAGCCTTTGCAAAGTGCTTTTAGCTACCATGTCCTAGCCTCTCCCAGCCCCCAAAGGATGGGTGAGACCTGGTGGTTATCCTGTTGGACACATGTCCAGAGAGGCTCACCTACGATTGAGTCACAGCATGGCTTTGACCTGTTGAGAGCCCAGGCCTCTGGACTCCCAGTTTGATCAAATCTGCAGACGATGTGGCCCAACATTAGTTTATCTAAAGACGGTGGGAGACAAGATGTCTGTGCTGTGTAGTGAAAATTCCATAGAGAGATACTTCTTGGTTTGTCCACTCCCCAGCCAAGTGTCTCAGCATGCATGGATTCTTAGAGCTAATTAATTTAAATTCCATATTCACACGTAAAGATAACAAAACAATTATTCGTCATTCAGAATTATTGTGAAAATGAGCCATTATGTATTTATTATATAATTAGAGGCCCGATGCACACAATTCATGCAAGAGTAGGCCTTCCTTTCCCAGGCTGCCGGCACCGGCTTCCCTCTGGTACCCGGGACCTGGGCTTCCCTCACAGCCCCAGCTTGGTCCGGAAGGACATCCGGTCTAATTGGCATATTACGTTTTTACTATTATAGATGTTTAAAGTATGCACCTGTTTAGTACATAACAGGTACTAAACCAGTGGCAGTTAGGGGCCCCCTACAACCATAGCTAAGACCACAATTGCTAACCAGTGAGTGTGGTGGCAGCGCCGTGTGAGCAACCATGGACCTGGGGCCTGAGGCCTGGAGCTGGGGTTTTGGCTCTGGCCTTCTTGATGAAAGGTCATTTTTGTTAAGAAATCATTTTGGCATCACGAGCTTCTAGCACTTTCCCTGGTATACTGCAGGTACTTGATAACATTAAGGAAGGAGTCAGGAGCCCTGTCCCTTAACTTCTTTGAGACTGAGTATCCCGTGCCTGCCAAGTGAAAACATACCATTCAGGGCTCTTTATACAGTGCCCAGTGCCTGCAGATAGTAGGTCTGATTATCATTGGGCCAAATTAAGATTCACAGTATAATCAAGAGCCCTGAGACACATATCTAAAGGCAGTCACGTGATTGGACCTGGGGCCTGAGGCCTGGAGCTGGGGTTTTGGCTCTGGCCTTCTTGATGAAAGGTCATTTTTGTTAAGAAATCATTTTGGCATCACGAGCTTCTAGCACTTTCCCTGGTATACTGCAGGTACTTGATAACATTAAGGAAGGAGTCAGGAGCCCTGTCCCTTAACTTCTTTGAGACTGAGTATCCTGTGCCTGCGAGGTGGGTTCTGACGACCAAGTGAGAACATACCATTCAGGGCTCTTTATACACTGCCCAGTGCCTGCAGATAGTAGGTCTGATTATCACTGGGCCAAATTAAGATTCACAGTATAATCAAGAGCACTGAGACATGTATCTAAAGGCAGTCATGTGATCCTTCAGGATTTAGCCTTTGCAAAGTGCTTTTAGCTACCATGTCCTAGCCTCTCCCGGTCCCCAAAGGGTAGGTGAGACCTGGTGGTCACCCTGTTGGACACATGTCCAGAGAGGCTCACCTACGATTGAGTCACAGCATGGCTTTGACCTGTTGAGAGCCCAGGCCTCTGGACTCCCAGTTTGATCAAATCTGCAGACGATGTGGCCCAACATTAGTTTATCTAAAGACGGTGGGAGACAAGATGTCTGTGCTGTGTAGTGAAAATTCCATAGAGAGATACTTCTTGGTTTGTCCACTCCCCAGCCAAGTGTCTCAGCATGCATGGATTCTTAGAGCTAATTAATTTAAATTCCATATTCACATGTACAGCCCTCGCTGCTGCTCTCTAGCTGCTCTGAGAGCAGTGGAATGGCCAGGTCTGGCAGCAGCTCAACCACACGTGGGACATTGGAGGGGCTTTCTTGCATGTTCTTTCTAGTGACTCTTTCTCTCCGCCTGTGCTCCTCAAACCTCGGGCCTTGCATCCTTTGGAGAATCTGAGGAAACTACCAGACTTGCTGCCCAGAAATGCACATGCGACCAAGCATGGCATACAATGACCTGACCTTGCACTACAGCCTCCCCCTGGCCTCCACCCCTCAGGTCTTGCAGCCTTGATTTCCCCCTCGACTGGCTCGGTCCCCTACTCCTGCAGAGAGCTCTGGGTGGAGGGGAGGCAGGAAGCTGGATAAAGGCAGATGAGGCAGGAAGTGATGAGAAGTTGTGATAGGACTTCTCTCTGTGATAAGAAGTTGAATGGCTCAACCTGAGGGAAGATTTCGATTTTAGTTTCTCCATAACTGAGGACCTAAGACAGGCATCACCACAGGCTGGAAGAGATCCAGGGTTCAGAGCAGTCCCCTTCAGAGGGCACAAGAAGTGGCTATCCAAACGAGGAAGTCCTGTTGTTTTATGGGACCTCTAGGGGGAGCTGAAATAGTGCACAGGGAGTATTTTTTCCCTACCTGACCAGTATCCCCTCTTTCTCTTTTGGTCACAATCTTCCAAATTTTCTTTGGGAAGTCACTCCTCCCAAATTTTCAAGTCGTTTGGTTCCCACAAAGCTGACATCAATCTCCCTCCAAGATCTGGGCACATTACCCATGCCTAGGCCTTCCGATCCTTCCAATTCTCCCCACCCTTCAAAAATGATTGGTTCACCCAGAAAAGCCAGGGCATCTCAGACTCCAAACTTGTTACAACTTTTGGGAAAGGTGGGTGGTGCTCTTTCCACTGGGGCTTCTAACCTGGTAGTAGGTAAGCCTAGAAATGCTGCAGCTCAACACAAAGGCAGGCAGGATGGAGAAAAGAAGAGAGACTGAGTCTTTATATCATCATTTGAGTCCCTGGATACAGCTGTGCCTGAAGCTGGCTTACCCAGGACTTGAGTTCAATAAGCCAACAAATCCCCCCCCCCCCCTTTTTTTTTTATTCCCTCTAGTTTCTATCGAATTTCTGCCTTGCAGCAAAGGGTTCTGCTCCCAGGGAGTTCACAGAGGCCAGACCTGGGCACTGCCACACTCTACCTGGAATGGCTTGGAAGGTCCCTGGCCAGGAACTTAATGTAAGGAAAATGGAAGCATATGCCTGGCTTCATTCACCTACACAATGTCCTGTGGGCTATTTCCTAGCAAGGCTGGCTCAGTGATAGAAAGATGATGGACTTGAGGCCAGATTGTCCAGGGTTCCAATTCTGACTTCACCACATTGAAGAATCATTAAATATCTTACCTTTCTCTTCCCTAGCATGGAGATAATACAAGCTATCCTATACATTGCTTTTAATATTAAATGAGATAATGCATATGTGAATGTTTTATTTTTTAAATTTTTATTATTTTTTATATGTGAATGTTTTAGTACAATGTCTGACTCTAACAGATGCTCTCAATATGTCATCTCTGAGTATTATTTTATTTGTGTGCCCTAGCAGATTTGGCTCAGTGGATAGAGCGGCAGCCTGCAGACCAAAGGGTCCCAGATTCGATTCTGGTCAAGGGCACGTACCTTGGTTGTAGGCTCCTCCCTGGCCTGGGACCTGGTGGGGGCTCGTGCAGGAGGCAACCAATCGATGTGTTTCTCTCACATCGATGTTTCTCTCTGTCTTTCCCTTTTTCTTCCACTCTCCCTAAAAAAATCAATGGAAAAATATCCTTGGGTGAGGATTAAAAAGAAAAAAGGTTTTTTAATTTGTGGCAGTGGAACTCAACCGCTTGGGGTTCTGTGAAGCCACAGAACCTCTCTAGTCACCAGGGACCCCGCGGTTTATAAGCACAGCTTGCTCCCAGGGGTAGGACCCATAGTCCTTTTGGCCTGTTGCTAAAACCCCAGTTGTGTTCCTTCAAACCAAACTGCGTAGAGGATCATTGGAGAACCCTAAAGATAGACACTGAGGCCAGCAGGTGAAAAGATAAGTAGGCTCTGAGGTTTATCAGACGTGTGTTCAGAGCAGAGCTCCACCCTTTATCCAGCTCAGTGTCTGTGGGTCAGTCCCTTCCTCTCTGAGTTTCAGAGAGGATTACAACATGATGATTATAACACCTATCTTCACAATCTCTGCAGGATTAAGCAAGACGAGGCGTGTAAAACGGAGGCAAGAGTGGACCCTCAGCAACAGTAATTCTACTGTTAGGACCCTTCACCCCCAACCCCCAATTACCTCCTCTTAGCCTCTTCGTACCGAAGGCGCAATCGGACCTTCTCCGCCAACTGATTGTGGCTGCTGGTGCCGAACTGGAGGGAAGAACAGAGTCAGGCTGGTTACGTGGCTGCTGTGGCCAGGGCTCAGTGGCGTTTCAGGAGCTCAGGAAATATGTGAGGCTTTCGTAGGACGTAGCTAAGAATAGCCCCCAATTACTGAGCTGGCTGTGCACATCGCATCGCATCGCAAGGAAGCTAGTTAGGTGGCAAAACGCTTTCCTTCCTTCAGGCCGTGGGAAGAGCCCCAAACGCAGACATCAGTCACGCCTAGAAGAGAAGCTGAGGGCCCAGAATATCATCTCGCAGCCGCAAACGGCTTGGAGCCCATTCAAGCCACAGAAGCACGGAGGACAGCTGGTCAGGGACAGCCAATACACAAGAAAAGCCATTCTGGGGGCACTGGGGAGGAGGTCGACCGAAAACTCAGGGGGCTGCAGTCAGGACTGAAACACTGGGTGAGCAAGGAGAAGGTTCTAGAACCGGAAGGAGGCACACAGCTCGTTCTCAAATATTTCGGCCCACAGGCGGCAGGTAGCTGGCACATGGGTGGTGGGGGAGGAAAGGGGAAGGCCTGTTTGCTGTTGGGAGCAGCAAGAAGCTATAAGGCTCACCCAATCAGACGTGGACATAGCTTCTCATCACAAGTGGGAACACAGCTATAGAAGTCAGATAGGAAGAGCATTTTAGCCACAGAGGCCGGGCGGCGAGTTCGTTCAATGTCACCTGCTCTAGGAAACAAAAGCTCCCCAAAGCCACGGATTGCCTGCTCTTGCTTTCACGAGCTACGTCTGGACAGAGCTTGCACCATTCACCATGGCGACCGGACTGAGCTTGGGAACTGGGGAGTCAGCAGTGGTCCGCAAGCTGCACGCATTGTTTTAGGACCAATAGGAGGAGAATGCCCTGTTTTCCAGCTGGTGAGAGAAACACAGAATAGTGCTGCAAAACAGCATGAAGGAAAGACACTTGGTCCTCCAAAAACCCTTTCTGTGCAGCATCTAGACACAAGCACATGGCCCAGTGACACCAAGGATGTGGAGTCAGTGTCGGCTTTTCCTCAGACCACCATCTGCTGTCACGCTGGGGCCGGGAGCTCTGCAAGAGAACGGAGCTCCAGCCCTGGCCGGTGTATCTCAGTGGTTAGAGTGTCGGCCTGTGCACTGAAGGATCACGGGTTCGATTCTCAGTCAAAAGCACATACTTTAGGTTGCAGGTTTGATCCTGGCCCCAGGTCTGGGCACGTGCGGGAGGCAGCCAGTTGATGTGTCATTATGTTTCTCTCTCCCTCTTCTCTTCTCCCTTCCCTTCCACTCTCTCTTAACAATCAATGAGAAAACAGAGAGAGAGAGAGCAGCCAGCCCCATTGAGAGCCACCAGCCGGCTCCCCAGGTGAGTCACAAGGGGGTGGCCATCATCCCAGCAGTCTCCTGGGGGCGGTCCCTCACGAGGCCCCCAGCAACAGGCACTGCTACTCACACTCCCCGAGATGTCCGTCTGGGAGCTCATGTCCAGGTACTGCTTCGGCAGCGGGAAACCCGAACTCTCCAGAGAGCTGCTGCTGGACCACAGGTCAGAGTGGGACCCTCTGTCGGTCCGGAAGCCGTCCTTCAGCATCGCAAGGCTCTGAACGGGGAGGACAGGGTCAGTGACACACCTTTTCGGGAGGGAGTGCTGGGTCTCTCACTCTCCATGTGCCTTGCCTGCCACCTTTGGTAATTCAGTAGGAACCCAGTCTCACCCACGCCTCCTACTTCTCTGTAAAGAGTCAGCAGTGAGTGGGTACTTGCTAGGTGCCAGGCACTGTGCCAGGCCCCTTCCATGGGAGAGACTGGTGTGGACACTGGCTCTGGAGCCACACTGCCTGAGATCCCCTGGCTCTGCTACTTCCTAGCTGTGTGATCTGAGCTAGTTGATGAACCTCTCTGTGCCTCAGTGTCCTCTCCTGCAAAATGGGAATAATCACAGATCCCATCTCATAGGGCTATCATGCTGACTAAACGAGACGAGCAGAGTAAAGTGCTAGCACAGTCCATACTCAGTAACTTTACCACGATCGTATTTAATCCTGACCACAGCCCTGCCAGGAATGACCCAGGATTTATCCCCATGTAACCCACGAGGGAGCTGTGACATGGAGAAGCTGACAGCTAGGATTCCCTGGTCCATCTGACTTAAGCCTTGGCGCTCTGAACTGCCTGGCATAGAAAGGTGCCCAGGAGACATGGAGGTGGAGCCCACGTCATGGGCACTTTGGTACCTTAATGAGATCTTGCTTTTCCTTTTCTCCACAGGTGATGGCCTTTTTGATGGCTTTCGTTTCTCTCAAGACAGCCTGAGCTTCATCCAGTTTGTAGCTGCCCTGAGCGTCAGACATTTTCTTGTCGATTCTAGGAGACAATCAACGGGAAAGGTCAAAGATGGGGTGAGAAACAGGGTGTCCCAGGGGAAAAACACAGACCACAGAGCTTCATTCTCTCAAAAATTTTCCTCTCTCTGTCCTGCCTATGGAATAAGGCACAGAAGGACCATGTTCAATCACAAATGTCCCTAGTGTGGGGCTGTAGAAGCAAGACCACTCTTGAAGTCCAGGGTCCTCTAAGTGTCAGCTCTTACAGGAAGCCTTCCTGGATTACCTCCCGGGGCCCTCCCGGCTGGGCCGGGTGTTCCCAGAGCACACGGCACCTAGCTGCAACACTGCATTCATTACGCTGTGTTATAATTAGTAATTTGTGTGATTGTGTCCTTGACCCTGGCAGGCTTGCATGTTTGAGTAGCTTTAGTGTCTGGCATAGACCAGTCCTTTAATCCGGCTATCTCAACCTCAGAACTCCTGATAGTTGAGGCCGTATCATTCCTTTTTGTAGGGGGCTGTCCTGTGTTTGATGTCATCCCTGGCCTCTGCCCACTGGATGCCAGTAGCATCTTGACCTTGGGCATGGCCCTCAGCCACCAGGAGCCTGTTTCCTCCTCTAAGAAAAGCTGGATAATGTCACCTGCCCAGCCATGTCACAGAGCAGTGAGGAACATCAAGGGGGATAAAGGACGGAAAATGGGGTTGTGAACAGGGAGCCTGCAAGCTGTAGACCAGCGGTTCTCAACCTGTGGGTCATGACCCCTTTGGGGGTCGAACGACCCTTTCACAGGGGTCGCCTAAGACCATCGGAAAACACATATATAATTACATATTGTTTTTGTGATTAATCACTATGCTTTAATTATGTTCAATTTGTAACAATGAAATTGGGGGTCACCACAACATGAGGAACTGTATTAAAGGGTCGCGGCATTAGGAAGGTTGAGAACCACTGCTGTAGACAAATGTAAGGGATCAAAATACTTCTCGCCTGGAGTGCTTACCGGCTCTCCTACATACAGGTTCACTGTGATGGGGGGAAAATAAAAAAAGCGAAGGGTCATGATGTTTTCGGAAGGTTAGACCACACCAGAGATGGCCGGGGTCCCAGCCCCCAGGGAAGGAGGCTGGGGTGATGACAAGGTCCAGGGGGCACAGAGTTTTAACTGCTTCACACTTTTGCCAAAGGCAAGGAGGCTTCAATCCAGGGTGGAGAAAAAGCAACTTGACAGTGGAGGGAACACCACAAGCCCATTATTCAAGGAGCAGAAACTGCTCAGGGGCATTCCTTTCTGTGTCCAGCTAGACGCCAACCCGTCCTGAGCTAAAAATAACCTGAGTGGGGAATCAGGACCCGGAGCAGGTCTCCATCCTGGTCTCATGGTCTGTGTCTCTGGGCAGGAGAGGGAGAGAGAAGGAGAGAGGGACGGATGGACCGCGTCCTGGTCTCCACAGCGCAGCCCTCCTGCTCCCTGTCCGCTATTTCAGCTCCTCAGAAAGAAAACAAAGCCCCATTTGTGTCTCCCACTGAAAACAGCCCGTCCATTCCTTTCGAGGACTCGGGCCTGGGCCAGCCTGCCAGGTCACGCGAGCTCGGGTACCTTAAATCTGGTCTCAGATTTAGTTTGAGAAACTGGTCTAAAGGGAGCTTTCCGCAGCGGAGGCCGCCCAAGATGCTCCGAGGAGAGGAGGGTCCCAGGAGCGAGTGTCCAGGCCTGGAGGCGGCCCTGCCCCCAAAGGGGTGGTGGTGAGGGGAGACACCGTTTATCTGAGCACACCCAGGGGCTGGGGGCTCCGGGGAGGGGCTGTGCCCGGCTGGCCTCTGCCAGGAGTGAGGATGGCTGTGAATGCCCAGCAGGGCGAGACAGAAGCGGTCTGTCTGCGCCTCGGCTCCTCGCACAGCCTCTACCTGATTTCTCTCAGGGGCCTTAGCAACCCAGGCTCTGGAATTTGGCTCCGAGAGCAGCTCAGAGAGGAACTCTTTTGGGATTGGGGTGGGGGTGGGGGAGGGGAACAAAGGGTCACCATTATGAACACAGTGAATGAATCTTTTTTTTTTTTTTTTTTTTTTTTTTAGGAAAAAGAAAAGTTGTGTGTTTAGGGGGAGGAGGGGGTGCGAGGGGTGTGTGTGTTTTAGGATTTCCAAATTGCGCAGCTGTCCTTTCTCTGTGCACCGCAGTCACAGGAGCCCGGTGGCCACAGCATAGCCATAGACAGAGAAGCGGGCAAAGGCTCTGACCGAAGCCACGTCCTCTCCGTCCTGTCCAGGCAGCTCTCACCCGGGTAGGGTGGCCTTGGGGACACGCAGAAAGACACCACGCTGCCCTGCGCCCACGGGGGCGGTGTGCCAAGCCTCAACTCCTTCCTATCCACACGGGCTCGAGGCAGCGGGCAGCCCCCATGCCCAGCTTTCATCTTGATTTTCATTCTCCCCTAAGAGGTACCCTCCAGTCCCCATCGACCTTTTCTTTTGAAAATGGGTAGGTGACAATGAATTGAAGAAATGGTACGTTTCACTGTCCCCCATGGAATGCAGAGAGAGAGAGAGAGAGAAGGGTAGGAGGAAGTGACTGTATTATCTCCTATTAAGGGGCTTATGTTTTCTGGATGGGGAGGGGGTTACCTGGGATGATGCCAGGAAGGGATGTATTAGGACATGAACTTCAGAATCCAACAGTGGTGGGTTCTAACCCCTGCTCTGATGCTTACCAGTTTGGAGGCCTTGGATATATTTTAAAC